TTACAACTATTTCCACCCAATTTGCTTCTTTAAAAAAAGAAATGCAAGAAAGAAGTCACTTGAAAATGTGTTATTCTTACACTGAATTTTTCAGTGGGAAAACACTTTCAAAGTGGTGTCAGCGTTGGCTTATGGCCAGAGGTTGTGTGCTGCAAGTGAACTTTGGCAGGGTGAGGAAATGCTTTTACTCTCTTCACAGTCAGAATTCTTTTTTTCCCCCTCTAGGATTTTTCTTTTTGCAATCATGTAACACGAGAAGTTATTAGCATGTCATTATATATTAATGTTAGTGTCAGCTATAGCTTCAATTCTGAAATTCTGGATATGTCCACTCCACAGTGAGTTCAAAGAACTTCCAGTAAGATTGAGAGGGTGTGTGTGTGTGTGTGTGTGTGTGTGTGTGTGTGTGTGTGTACATGTGCCTTCAAGCAAATATTCCAGCTGTCCATTTAGTAACAATTGCAATATTTCATTTTGACGAATTTTCTTATGCTATCAAAATATGTTCTAATATGTTCTTAGTTTGTAGACTCTTCTGAAATATTTGTTTTAAGCAAAGGTAAAACACTACCAGAGACAGGATGTCTCCTCCTTTTACCTCTGTCTCTAATATCCATGAAGTTTGCTCACTGAAGAGAGATTAAAACTTTTTAAAAAGAGGCAGGGGCGCCGGGCGTTGGTGGCGCACGCCTTTAATCCCAGCACCCGGGAGGCAGAGGCAGGCGGATCTCTGTGAGTTTGAGGACAGCCTGGTCTACAGAGCAAGTTCCAGGACAGCCTCTAAAACAATACAGAGAAACCCTGTCTTGAAAAAAAAAAAAGAGGCAGGGGCATCTCTGTGAGTTGGAGGCCAGCCTAGTCTACAGAGTTCCATGACAGGCTCAAATCAATATACAGAAACCTTGTCTTGAAAAACCAAAATAAATAGATAAATAGATAGATAAATAAATTCCAAATATTTGCAAAGTATAAAGTGTCTATGCCTTAGCTGTAGAGGGAAAATCTCTTAGGTACAGTTGTCAGAAAATGGGGAGTTAGTCCTGTAAGCTTACAACCTGCTTATGGCATTACAAAGGCATTTGAGGGAACACTTAATAGTAATAGAGGTCTCTTAAAGATAGAAAATTTGAAGAAAACCCCTTTGGAATCAAAGCAGGACTTTAAGTTGTCTTTAGAACACACAGGATCAAGTTTTTTTATTTTTAATTTGTCACTTTATTTTATGTGTTTGAGTGCTCTGCATGTATGTATGTCTGCATGCCATATGCATGCAGTACTGGCTAGCAGAGCCATCCATTCTCTGGAACTTGAGTTACAGGTGATTGTGAACACCATGTTGGTGCTAGGAAAAGAACCCAAGTCTTTTGCAAGAGCAACAAGTACTCAACCACTGAGCCATCTCTTTGGCCCCCAATGGAGGTTTTTAAGTTCCCTTTGCTTAGTGGCATATCTTTTTATCATCCCAGTAAAATTAGTTTTATTGAAATCCCAAAGAAAAATATGAATTATTAGAGCTGAGACTATAGAATGTTTTTATAATGAATGAATGAGAGAGAGAGAGAGAGAGAGAGAGAGAGAGAGAGAGAGAGAGAGAGAGAGAGAGAGAGAGAGAGGTTCAGGCTCACATGTATGCAGATGTGCTCACTAATGCATGTGCACCGTGGAGGAGAACACCGGGGTGTTCCCCTTTGTCATTGTCTACCTTATTTCACCTCACTGAACCTGGAGCTAGGTGGGCCAGTCAGCAAGCCTTAGTAGTCCTTCTGTCTTTAACCCCTCATAGCACTGTAGTTGTAGGTGTGTGAGCCATTCGTTATAGCCAGCTTTTTACATGGGTGCCAAGAGTCAGGCTCAAGTCTTCATGTCTGCATTCTCAATACTCTTACCACTGAACAACCTTCTCTAACCACTAGCTTTCTTTGTGGAATTAAAACTATCAGTGAGTGTAGGCACACAAAATACCATTATATAAGAATATTTGAGCATAGCAAAGTTAACTTAACAAATCATTATTCCTTATGTTTGTTTTGGACTTAATAATGTATTTATATACCTTAACTTACTTCATTTTCAAGGTGGGAAAATGTGGGCAACATCACAAGTTAGCCAGAGTTGAAATTAGAATGAATTTAATGTTTGCAATAATATTTGATGCCACTTATGTCATAAGTTCCTTCCAGAGATTGAGGCGTCAATTCTACACTTCCAATCTTGGACCTCCTTGTTATGTGGTTGTCATAGCTCGTTTACTTCTTGGTTTCAACTGAGTTAGGCAAACCAATGCTAATAATGTTTTCTTATTGTCATAGCCATCATCGTCATTGTGTGTGTGTGTGTGTGTGTGTGTGTGTGTGTGTGTGTGTGTGTGTGTGTGGTGGGAACATATACAGGCACAGATAGACATCAGAGAATAATTTTGTGAAGTTTGTTCTCTCCTTCCACCTTTACATGGGTGCTAAAGATTAATTAAACTATGGTTTTCAGGCTTACACAGAGTCCTAGTTAGGATTACTATTGCTATGATGAAACACATATTACCAAAAAGGAAGTTGGGGAGGAAAGGGTTTATTTGGCTTACACTTCCACATTGCTGGTCATCATCCAAGGAAGTAAGGACAGGAACTCAAACCAGAGCAGGAACCTCGAAGTAGGAGCTGATGCAGAGTCCATGGAGGTGTACTGCTTACTGTCTTGCTCATCTTGGTTTGCTTAGGCTGTTTTCTTACAAAACTCAGACCACCAGCTCAGGGTTCACAATCAATCACAAATTAAGAAAATATCCTATAGCCAAATCTTTTTTTAAAATTTAAATTAGAAACAAGCTTGCTTCACATATCAATCCCAGCTCCCTCCCTTCCCCTCTTCCCCTACCTACCCCCAGCCTTCTGCCCAATCCCCACTCCATTCCCCAGGGAGGGTGAGGCTCTCCATGGGGGATCTCCAGAATCTGTCATTTCGTTCAGAGCAGGGCCTAGGCCCTCCCCCAAGTGTCCAGGCTGAGAGAGCTTATGAAGATATATTTTCAGTTGGCATTTCCATTTTTCAAATAATTCTATTTTATATCAGTCAAGTTGACATAAAACTGGCCAGTACATATAACAAGTGATTTAGCCATAGGGCCATCTTGTCAGCCTGCCCACAGTGTCTTGAAATGGACAGCCACCAAGTGGCTTGACTTCTGCTATATAGAGACTCAACCTGAGGCAGGCTTCAGCACAACCCTCCTGGGGAGACATACAAAGCATTGCCTTTGAAACTGTGGCTTCCTCCAAGAACTGTATTGGTCTGCATTGCCATTCCCACCTGACTAAATGTCCAAAGTGTGAAGAGAAAGTATTCTTCATTCTCGATTCCTTTGTCCATATATGTGAGCTCAATGGCCAGGCTTGATATTGGGTCTTGAGCAGGTTTAGAAAATCAAGTAATCAAGCTATCACTTGATTTCTCCATCTTTTATGACTTACTCATGTTGTGTATTCAGCAATAGGGTGTCTTACTCACAAGTTCCGGAGGGTTATCAAAAGCAGTAGAAATACCCTGTAATGTTTGTGGGTTCATTGAACCACACTGGATAACAACTCAAAAAGAGGTAACCCATTACTACTACTGGGGCTTTTGTTCACTAGCATGTGGTACCTAATTGGGGTATTGTCCCCTCATTCTAGGACGATTCTATTTAAACTTTTTAAATATATGTATAGGTATTCATTTTAGGTTGCTTCTGCAGTGCTAAGTTTCCATGAGGCCTTTTCAAATGGCCTTTAGTGCTAGCACTCACTCTGCTACCCTGACCTCACACCCTCCCCTATTTGATCCTTCCTGTTCCAGTGTTTTCCTTTCCCCCTTTATATTACTGTATTCTGACTCCCTACCCTTAAAAGAACTCTCCTCCCCCATGGTCTCTTACTAGTTTTCTAACTGCTATGGGTGTTCCAGGTAAAACACACATATCTAAAGGTTGAAAATTTATATTCACATATGAGAGAAAACATGTGAATTAAATGACATCTTTAAAACATTTTATTGTGTGTGTGTTTGTATGTTTTGAGATAAGTGTACTGAAACTCACCATGAGCTGGCCTCAAGCTCATGGTGAACCTACCTACCTCAAACTTCTTAGTATTGGAATTTCAGGCCTGTGCCAATTCCTGGCTAAAATATTTAATTTTCATTTTTACTTATTTCTGTGTACCCTTCTACCTAAATCCTTAGTGTGTATCAGAGATTTTGTCACAATTGTTCTTAATCTTTTACTAGAATATTGCAGAAAATACTGCAAAATCTAGAGAACAAAACCACCCATGATCCTTTTATCTAAGCAAACATTTTTGTTTCTTTTTCTTTCAGTCTTTTTCCTATGTGCAGATATTCTTACTAATTTCCACATGGTGACTTTTTAAAAAGTGAATTTTGAAACAAGTTTTAGTAAGAAGTCAATAGTTAAGTGGTTTGCTTCGTTTACTTGTTAGTGGTATTCTTTAGTTGTTGGATCAGTTTCTTGTATTCTTCACTTGAGCTGCTGTTGTCATTAGTTGAGAAGCAATCTTCCCATTAGGTGTTTATTATGTAACTCTGATGGGCTTTTATTGCTTTGTTTGTGTCTTCAATGACATTTCTAGTGATCTTTAAAATCCTTATCAAAGTAAAGTCACAAATTAATCCAGAGTTCACTCATTTTCTTTTTCTTCCTTTCTGTCTTTGTTTTTCTTTGTTTTTGTTTGTTTGTTTTCTTCTAGCTTGGTAAGCTTTACTGGGATCCACTATTATAACATCCATGTAGTCTGAATTAAATGTTAATTTGTTAATAATTGTCTCTTACATTGCTTTAGGATTTATAATTTTAGCATGTAGCATAGCAATATGTTCTGAATAGTAGAAATACTAGAAGTATCATCTAACAGTATATTCATGAAAATCAACGTTCTTTTTTTGTAACACATTTATTTGTACAATGTGCACAAGCTGAAGTGTGGTAATGTGTCCTGGTGATTGTTTTTCAGACCTCAAAGGAAGACCTCCTGCAGGCTGATTTTGAAGGCGCTTTGAAGTTCTTCAGAGTTCAGCTTCCAAAGAGATACCGGGCAGAGGAGAATGCAAGAAGGTTGATGGAGCAGGCTTGCAATATTAAAGTAAGATCCATAACTTACATATGATAACGGTATATTTTGCATGTAGAATAACATAAGCATAGCAAAGTGTGTTAAACTCCTTGTGTCTGTTGCTGATTTCTGAATATGTTTTAGGGATGTTGCGTACAAATTAGTGTTCTAGATTTTTTTTGTCATCCATGGTGTTGACAGTTGCTCTACCTTTTCGTAGGACTTACAGGAAAAGGTCGACAACTCATATTGTAATAAAAAGGAGGCAAACATTTATCTTCTAGGTGGGGCTCTGGAATGGACTGCTATAATAGTGATTTCCATGGTAGCAGACTTGGTATTTTAGCTTTTGCCATCTGTTTTAAGATTATTTAGGACAGAGCAGGAAAAACATGCCAAGCAGGTCTTTCCCTTTTTCTAAGATACTTACGTAGTTTGAGTCTTGATCTGTATGGTTCTACCTCACATCCACCAGATGACTGCAGGTAGATATGTGTCTGATTAAACAATTCTTATAAATTAACTTAAAATTGAAAGCTATATCCAGACAAATTATAATTACAACGGGATAGCGTGTTTTCTCTAAGACATTTGGAACCAGTTTGCTAATATCAATACTTATGCCTCCAGAATATATTTTCATAGCCATGACATAAATATAATGTTTTATTAGACAGGAAGACAAGTATTAAGGACCTTACATTATTGCAGAAGAAAATAGACAATAAATAATTAACATAATAAATTATTTATGTTAGAAGTTGGTAAGTAGATGTAGAAAAGAAGAAAAAGAAAAGGAAATAGGTGAGTTGTGTTGTTTTTTTTACTAGAATGTAAATGGGAAATGAATGAGACAAAGGATAACTCATGGACATGTCCTGGGGAATAATGTTCCAGGAAGGGAAAAGCCAGTTCAAATGTCTGAAACCAGCTCAGGCCTTGTGAGTTCAAAGGATGACATGTAGGTCAGTAAGCTAGACAAGATTGTGTGGAATCAGAATCGAAGTTAGAGTGCCCATAAGGAGCCAGGACTTGTCAGTTTATTTTGAAGTGGGGGCCCTGGCAGGGAGGAATAATTTGTTCTGGGTTCTGAGAAGATCAAGTCAGCTATAGGGATGGATAAGAATCAGTAAAAATAAGAATGAAGAGCAAACAGAACCTGAAGTAATCCCATGGGCTGATAGTGACCAGCTGAATCAGGTTAGTAACAGTGGAGAAGAAATAGATTGAAAGTGGCAAAAACCTGGGCAAACCCTTTCACTATGTGTAAATACAGCTGTAGGAGGACAAGGCAAGATCATTCTATATTTTGAACTGCTAATTTAATGGTCTTATTACTTAAGATATAATTATATGAACCTAATAAATAATTGATCTGGAGTTTTAGGTACTATTTCCACTGTAGCACTTAAACAAAAGAAAACAAGATCTCACTGTGTAACCTCAGCTGGCCACTATATAAACCAGGCTGGCCTCAAGCTCACAGAGATCCACCTGCCTCTTTTTCCTGAGCTCTTGATTAAAGATGAGTGATACCGTGCCCAGCTTGTAGGCTTGTAAAACTTATCTCAGTATAACTTTGACTTTTAAATCTAACTTATTTTAAAATAAATTACAAATGCCCCAAAGCACAAATCAATGCTGAAAGTAAATAACTGAATATAAAATTGTCTTTCAAATGAACCCAGTATTTTAAAGGATCATTTTCTAAGTACACCCCCTTAAAAAAAAGACCTCTCCAATCCTCATCCTGGATTCTAAGTTTCTAAAGCCTTCATGACTAATTACTTGAGCCGAGCATAGTAACATATAACTATTATCGCAGGAGGATTGAAGCAGGAGGATTGATTCAATTTGTTTGAAGCTCAGGCTAGACACTGTTAAAATACCTTTTATCTCAAAACACAAACCCAAAAGACAGACAGGCAGATGGACGGACAGACACAATGTGTGTGTGTATATGTTCGCATGCACACACATGTATTGATTGGCTGAATTAATGTCAATTATGTTTACTCATAGACTTTGAAGTTGTATTCCAAAGGGCTGGGAACTGTTAACTGAGTTTTGTAGGAAGTAAATTTTTTTTTTTTTTTTTTTTTTGGTTTTACGAGACAGGGTTTCTCTGTTTTGGAGGCTGTCGGTCCAGCCTGACCTCGAACTCACAGAGATCCGCCTGCCTCTGCTTCCCGAGTGCTGGGATTAAAGGCGTGTGCCACCAACGCCCGGCTAGGAAGTAAATTTGAAATCGGTTTTAGCTGCTGGTTATAGTTACCAAGATTATGTTTACTTTCGAAGTTAACAAATATACACCAGGCTTGGTGACACATACTTGTGTCACCAAGTCTTGGCACTTGGGAGGCAGATGCAGGTGTCTCTCTATGAGTTTAAGGGCAGCCTGATTAGGCCAGCCAAGACTACATAGTGAGACTCTTGTTTAAAAAAAAAAATAACAAAAGTAACATACAAAAGGCAATGGTAACCTGAAAGAAAGAAGTTAGGGAGGGAAGATGAGGTACTGGGTGCCTATTTTGCACCAGGAGCTATGCCAGAGAGCTCGGGAAATAAGGATTAAAATGGAACCCCGGGGGATTAAAAGAGGTAAACAGGCTTGGGAAGGATGCAGAAATCCATAGGAGAGGAGAATGCACAGGTATCCAAGACTTAACTGTAGGTACTATCAGAGGTTAGGGTGAGAGAGGGCTGGGGTGTGCACTGGGTGAGGGGATCAGGAGGCTAGCAAATTAAGTGGAAGCCATGGGAAGCAATCTGGGTTTTAACTTGAGAGATTTTGAATAAAAGACAGAAATGACTAGATTTATGTTTTAGACATGTCATTCTAGCTGCTGTGTGGAGAAATGCACTGACAGATGCCTTATTAGATGTTGGTGATGGCACTTTTCAGGCACTGTTGCAGTAATCGAGCGAGGAGTGACTTGATTGAGTGGTACGGTCTGGAGAGAGACAGAAAGTAGAGATTAAAGAGATAGAACCAGCAGACTGGTTAAAGGAGCACTAGGACAGGGGAAGAGTGCCAGTGAAGGTACTTAGCATTCCTGTGTTGGCACCTTGATAGTGATCACACTCGGGAATAAGGCAAGAGAACAAATTATGGCTGGTAATGAGTTAAGATGTGTTGGGTGTTTATAGCCCTACACCCATATTCAAATAAGCAGTATATCCAGGATTCAGGTGGATATTGAAGTAAGAGGTGAGCTAAAAATGGAAGTCATAGTCTGTCATTTCATCCATGGCAGGGCCTAGACCCTCCCCCAAGAGTTCAGGGTGAGAGTGCATCTCACATTGTTGGATGGGAGTCCAAAGTCCATGTGTATACTGATAAATACTGATCTCCTGCCCAAGGCTCAATAGATTACCTAGGCCATAGGATTGTAGGCTGGCACTCCCTAGATCTATGTCTAAAATCCATATATGAGAGAATACATGCCATGTTTCTCTTTTTGTGACTGCACCCTTCCTGGGGAAATGAGGGGATATGGGGGAGCGTTGGGGGAGGGCACAGGAGGAGAGGAGGGAAACGAAGAAGGACCTGGAACTGACTTGTGAAGCAACCTTGTTTCTAATCTAAATTTAAATTTAAAAAGAAAAATTTAAAATAAAAAAATAAAAGATACCAGGACACAAATTATTGAAACAGAGATTTAAAAAAATACATAGAATCTAAACAAAAAGGAAGTCATAGCATTAAAGCATTAAAACCATAGAGTATCACATAAAGAGTGATACAAGGTACTCAGAGAAAAGGGTTGAGAATCAATGTATAACATAAAAAATAAACTGCAGATGGCAGTGGGCAAAACTAAAAAGGCAGGAGAAACTCAGAAGAATATGACATGTGAATTTTAAGGGTTAAGGCATTGTTATCAAGAAAATATATTTGAGCTCCTGGGTTCTATCTTCTGCACAAGATTCGGAAGCTGAAGAGGACAAGATAACCGAGTATCAGTGTTGGCTAGAAGTCATGTAAGGTACTGAGAATTGGAAAGTGGACTCTGTACAATACTCAATGATCACTACATTAAAGGATGCTCTTAGAGGAAGCAGTTTTAGTGCAGTGAAGTATAAGCCAGTCATCAAAAGGATAATTAGGAAGTGAGTAAATGGAGGAATGAAGATGGACACTGTTTCTAAATCCAAAGAATATGAGGCTAAGCAAAAGCAAGTATGCTCTCTAAACTCATGGAACTTTCAGTGTCGTATAGAAGATTTTCATAAGATAACCATGTTAGTAATAAAGTTATGGGGATTGGAATGTGTCTGTAGAGTGTGTGTCATTGTCCTAGTTACTTCTCTTGTGTATGATAGAATACCCAAGAGAAAACAACTTAAAGAAAGAAGGGTTTATCTTAGCTTCTAGTCTCAGAGATATAGTCCATCATGACATAGCAGTAGGAAGGAAAGGCATGCATGTAGGAACCAGAAGGATGAATGGTCACATTTCATCCACACTCAAGAAGTAAGAGTGAGAACAAGAAGTGGGGCCATGCTATGAAGTCTCAAGGCCCATGTCCAGTGACCTACTTCCTCCAGGAAGGCTTCACTTTCTAAAAGTTCACAACCTTCTCAAGCATTACCACTAGCTGGGTACCAAGTATTCAGACACACAAGCTTTTAGGGACATTTCACATTCAAACTACCTCTAGCATGCACTAAGTCCTGAATCCAAGCCGCAGCACCACATAAACCAGGTGTGGCAGTATATACCTATAACCCCTGAACTCATGACATAAAGGTAGAGACAGAATGATCAGGCAAAATTCATATGCAGCTCCATAGTGATTTCTCGGCTATCCTGAGATACATGAGCCCCTATCCCAAAAACAAAGTAAATAAAAAATGAACTATATTTACAAGTAAGACTATTGTCCAGAAAAACAATAACAAAAGTATATGAGAGCAAAGAAAACAACCCTGCTTTTTTGTTTTGTTTTGTTTTCTAAGGTTTCCCTCTGTAGCCCTGGCTGTCCTAGAACTTGCTCTGGCCTCAAACTCACAAAAATCTGCTTGCC